CCTTACTCAACCTTGGGTTCCCTATCACCAGCTTCCTTGTCCCCTTCTGCCTTCTGGCCCTTGTCACTGGACTCCTGTACCTCGTTAGTCCCAGGGCTGTTTTTGATCCCCTCGTTACCTCTGCCTCATCTATTCCTTCCTCTGTTCACTCGTTCATCCAGTACATGTTTTGCATGCAAGAACTTCAGACGAGACATAACCTGGCCCTCAGGGAGCCAGTCCAGTGGATGAGTAGTACTGCTGTGATAGTGATGTTCTCAGGGTGCTCGGAAGGCTTCTCAGAGCAGATGGTGCTGAAGATAAACTGTGGTTATCTTGGAATGCACAGCATCAAGTAAAAGGTTGCGTTCAGGGAACTGCAAAGCCTTCAGCATGGCTTCACGCGAACATGGGTCAGGAGTGGCCACACTAGAGGCCAGCTCGTGGCCGGCTTGGTACAGAAAGCCAAGGAATTTGACCTTGATTATATTCCATGAATTGTACTTGTTATTTATTATAAAGAGGGCAAGTACAGAAATTAAAGTCTGCACCTGAAGAGTCAGCAAGTTTGGTCCTTCAGTTAACACCTAGTTGTTCAGAATCTACCTTTCCCTCTAGACAAAGCCCCTTTTTCAAGGGGCTGTTCATTGATAGACATAACTTAATGAATACGAGTTGGTGTAGAAACTATTACTTTGTCAGCTGGCCAGATGTTAGAAAGATTTGGTAAAGAGAATAACTGCATGTGTTACTTGTAACTTAAATTTTATCTCAGAGATAAATGGTATATATTGTTTTACCAATTTGCTAGTAAAGTCACCTTTTTATTTGTTGGGAGGCAGCAGTTTAGGGACTAAGGGGTGCGGTCAGCCCATATCCCGCTCCACTTCTTACTGAGTGGAGCAACCTTGAACAAGTTTCTTTACCTCCCTAGGACTCAGGTTTCCTCAGCTGTAAAACAGGGATAATAATAGTACCTTCGTCATGGGAGTTGAGGATTCAGTTAAATAAACCTGGTTGAGTTCTTAGACTAGCTAGCTTAGCACTCAGATGGCTGTTGAGATTATTTGCTGTCCCCCACCAGGATTACGGAGCACTGAAAGACATTGTCATCAATGCAAATCCAGCCGAGCCACCACTCTCCTTGCTAGTGCTGCACAGACTGCTCTGTGACCATTACAGGGTCCTGTCCACTGTCCACACGCATTCGTCAGTCAAGAGTGTGCCAGAAAACCTTCTCAAGTGCTTTGGAGAACAGACTAAAAAACAGTCTCGTCATGAATACCAGTTGGGTTTTACTTTAATTTGGAAGAATGGTAAGTTGAGAGGACTGGGTCAAGCTTCTAGACTGTATAATGACATGCACATCCTGATTTTAATAAAGAGGCAGCTGTTGGGTCAAATTATCTAATTTAAAGCTTGTGGGGTTGTTCTAAAAGAGGGACACAGATGATTCTTGACCCAAAGATGCCCCCCTTCCTCTCAGAAGTCTTTGACTTAAATCACAGTTTTTTTCAGGGGCTGGGGTGGGGTGAGGTGGGGAGGAGATTCTGAGCATTTTAGGAAAGGGAATCTGGTTGCTTTCCAAACGGAATCGTTAAGGGACGCTGAAATTATCTTTAACAATTACCATAAGAGGATGGCAGGATACCATGTATTTATTATCCAACTGATACACACCTCTCCTGGTCAGTTTTACATAGAGGGAAGCAAGTTAATGTCTTTCATTAATTCTGCCCTCGATTTACACATTATGAGGGCAGACAGAGCTCCTGGCCTAGGAGATGGGACTCCTGGTTTCTAGTCCTCATCCTCCAAGTCCTTAGGCTCAGGGGTTTAAGCAGATGCTCTGAGGTTACTACCAACTTGAAAACTGTCAGAATCAAGTACCAGAATGGTTACTGTTTTAACATAAAGTTTGCATTTAAACCTTCTTGAATATTAAATCTTTTGTAGGCAGACTAAACACATGATTTTCTTCTTGAAAATATACTTTCCTTTGTCATCAGCTTGAGATTACTAGTGACTGCCCCTTTTCATTGTTCCACAAGTACTTCTTCCGGGGTGGGGGCTCCTCTTCTTGACATTCCATGGTGTGTATTTCTTTCCTTTCAGTGCCAAAGACTCAGATGAAGTTCAGCGTCCAAACGATGTGCCCCATTGAAGGAGAAGGGAACATTGCACGGTTTTTGTTCTCTTTGTTTGGCCAGAAGCACAATGCTGTAAACTTAACCCTCATAGATAGTTGGGTGGATATAGCTATTTTTCAGCTGAAAGAGGGAAGCAGTAAAGAAAAGTCCGCTGTGCTCCGCTCCATGAACTCTGCTCTTGGGAAGAGCCCATGGCTTGTTGGGAATGAACTCACCGTAGCAGATGTGGTGCTGTGGTCTGTGCTCCAGCAGACAGGGGGCGCCAATGGGACAGTGCCTGCCAACGTGCAGAAGTGGATGAAGTCATGTGAAAACCTAGCCCCCTTTAACACTGCCCTCAAGCTCCTTAAGTGAATTTTCAGTAACTGATCTTAAAGGGTTTGGATTTTAAGAATGGTGCTGCTATTTCGTGCCTATTGGTAAATGGACTTGCTCTTTTTATTTAGGCCAGTTGTCAAGTATCAATAAAAGCATCATAGAATTTGTGGCTTTCCTTTTACTTAAAATTCAGCAAAATCAAGTACAGTATACTATGACAACTGCTGACTGTGGCAGGGATACAAAAAGGAACATATCCAATAGCTACCTTTAAGGAATGTACAGGTTGGTTCAGGAATCAAGCGGTATATAATAAAGGAAAAAGTTCGGTGAAAATACTGCAGGAGCAAAGACAGGAAAGATGATATCCAGATGCTCTGAGAATAATAAATCATTTGATGGTCAAGAAGTACCAAGCTTTGAAAGGGCGTGGTTTGGGAATGATGCCAAGTTGGGGTAGAGAAAACAGAGAAATGGGTTGGATCTTGAACTTTTTTATCTTAGAGGCAGCAGAAGTGTTTGCACCAGGGAGTGAACTGATCAGATGTCTTTGTGGTAAGTCACTTCGGCCATGTGAAAGGCCATCTGAATTAGGAAGACGGGCAGCTGTCAAGGCTGGCGACAGTCCAGCTAGTCAAGTTTGCAGGCCTGAACTTGGCAACAGCTGCGGGTAGGGAACACAACTGTGGTTTCTATAGTAGAACCTGTTAAAAGAGGAGGATTTGGTGGCCAACGGGCATACAGTTTAGAGGAGGAAGAGTTGAGGATGTCATCAGAGACTGGGTGCACAAGAATACTAACGTAGGGAATCCAGGTACAGGAGCTTATGAGATAGGACAAGGGAAGAGCAGAGTAAGTTTAGTTGAAGGTGGTGTAAGCTCAAGATGCTGAATCATAAGAGAGCTACCTCAGAAGAAAGCAGTTTGTTTGAATAAGTCTTGAACAGGCTTACTGAATACAATGAAGAATTATTCCATTTATACCTAATACAGATTGAAAATTTACATTCCAGTTTACTATTTAGCTTAGACAAAGACTTTTTAAAGTCCACTTCCATAGTATTTATATAGCTTAATTAAAGCTAGACAGGTACTCTCCCAACTTTCATGTCATCCTAAACCCCTTTGTCCTGAGAGAGGAGGCTCAGCTGCCTCTTTAGTTCTTCAATTTCTTTTTCTTGCTCTATTACCCTCCTCTGTAGGGTAAGATTAACCTGTAAAGAAAAAGAATTTTAAGTTCCATTAAAATGTCTACTTCCCTTATTTTAAAATATATAGGCAGCCCTGTATATTTAAAGTGTAAATACACAGTGCACTTCTGATTTGCATAGATTTCAGTTATTACAAATTACGGTTAGCACAGTAATTACAGTAATGTAATTACATTAAGGTCTTCAGTCCACAAATCACTATGTTAATAACTGGTACACATGATCAGTGTCCAGTCACCTTTTAGCAAAATAACAAATTGGCACACAAAATAAAGGACATTACCTGTGACTGTCTGGTGCACCATTAAAAAACCATCTATATGAGACCAAAAGGTCAACAATTACTCTAAAGCGAAGATAAGAGGGCAGGGAAACTAGAGCACTGGAAATGGAACAACCAGAATGCAATTCAAGAGAATGATTCATTGTGAGAAATGTAATGTCACTGAAAAATCTGTACAGAAATTGTTGAATGGGAACCTAATTTGCTGTGTAAACTTTCACCAAAAACACAATAAAATACTTTTTTTTTTTAAAAGGTTATATACCATAGTTGGTAGGAAAAAATGAAACCTTTTCAGTAGCGAGGTGAGGTTAGAAACTGAATTCTGTAATTTTTAGAGTAGCAAGTTGGAAGGGAGTCCACTTGTTTACCTGGATATGAATACAAGTATGCTATTGGCATAGGAGCCCTGGTGGCACAGTGGGTAAGCACTCAACTGCTAACTGAAAGGCTGGTGGTTTGAACCTACCAGCCGCTCCATGGGAGAAAGATGTGGCAGTCTGCTTCCATAAAGATTTATGGCCTTGGAAACCCCATGGGGCAGTTCTACGCTGTCCTGTAGGGTCATTATGAGTGACAATCAACTTGACAGCAATAGCAGTGGTAAGGCATGCTACTGACATTAAACTTAGTACTTAATACACTGCTAGGGAACTCTGAGAATGGGTTTAAAGTTTGCTTCCATAAACCTTATTCTAAGCTCTACTGTTCTTCAAGAAATAGGATTCATAATTTAAAGAAATTCTAGTTTAAGCTTCATATTTTTCCTAGAATTAAAAAAAAATTTTACGTACATTTCCGGAATTCTGGAAAAGTTCACTTTGTAGCAGCTGAACAGCAGATGGTCTCTGGGATGAATTTTTTCTGGTTAAGTGCTGGATATACTTGGCTTGTACTGGACACCTTTTACTGAGGGATTTGGGTATCTGACCAGTTCTTAAACCTGTTAAAACTTCTGCTCGCTCCATTTCTGTTCCAAATGGCTGAAAAAGCTCTAGCAGAATTACACCCAAGCTATACATATCTGACTGGAAAAAGAAAAAAAGAGAGTAACTCAGTAATGAAACATAAGAACAACACTTCCATTTCAGTGCACCATCCTCTGGAACTGGAGAGGACTGATACCTAGAGCTGGGGGTCACCTACAGGGGCAAGTGTCAGCCAGACCTTCTGCACTGGGTGAGAGGTGACAGGTACTTTCTCGAAAGGGACATCCATGGGCAGGGCTGTTTGTCAGGTGAAAGACTGGGACAATCCACCATCCACAGCAGTCACTACCTTACAACTGTCCTCCCCACGCCTTGAAAGCCCAGGCCAGACCCAAACCGAGGAAAGTGATACGCACACACTCGTGCCAGTGCCGTCTACAGGAAGAGTCACAGAGGGTCACTTGGTCCTGCTCCAGTCTCACCTCTGCCTCCACTCCTAATGAGGCAATCTTGGTAAAGTTTCACAAACCCACTGCATAAAATCTGTGCTGCTTTTCCTAAAAATAGTGTTTTTTTTGAGGAGGAAGGTCTTCAGTAGATAAGATTTTAGAGGCAGCCATGGTTACTTCTAGCGGCTCTTTCCCAATTACTAAAAAGCAGAGTGATTCATCAAAAGCAAGAAAAGGTACTGTGATGTTATTTTGAAAAAAGAGTTTAATAGTCCTTCAAGGAACAATGGGTTTGTTTTTCTTAACTCATGACTTTTCAGAATCTTCATTCTATTTCAAAGAAAGTCCGTCAGAAGTGTCAAGCTTCCCTATAGCATTTATTTATGTAAAGTTGAAAATAGTAAATTTAGAAATAGTAAATAGCCTAAAGAGCAAAGCAGTCAGATTGAGCTGAAAAGTGAGACCTGTTAGGGCAGTTTGATGCTACAGATAACCTACAGGTCTTCAGTTATCCCCAAAAACACCTCCACAAGGGGCACTTCTACTTCATGTATTATACTTTTCATGTACAATTTGAAACTGCAGAATAAGTCCAGAAAAAAGATAAAACGCAACGGACACTACCTTGGTATCATACTCGGATCCTTCCAACTGCTCGGGGGAAGCGTACAGACAAGTTCCCACTCTGGAAGTATGTGTTGGCATTCCTATAATTTGAAAAGCCAAATATTAAATACTTCATTGTTGACACTGTCAACATTAAAGAACACTTACTATGAGCAGGGCATGTTAGCTTCTAAGGGAACAACAGTTACTTTATCTTATCTTGCTACTAAATGTTTATGATTCTCTTCTAAATATTAACACGTTCAATCATGTCTTTTTTTTTTTTAAAAAACGGGGAAAAACGAAAAAACATACCCTTCCCATTTCTATTGGTCCAGTCTGTGTTTTTCTGTAGGATGTCTGTGCACGCCAGACCAAAGTCTCCTATTTTTACTTGCTGATCAGGGCCATGAAGAAAAATATTTCTGGGCTGTAAACAGAACAAGTCAATTCCTTGGTTTTCTTAAATAATTAAAACTTGTGAATATTAAAGAGTTTTCAATTAAGGAACAAGTAGCCCTGACAAAACTTAAAAATTCAAGCAGTAGTTCTCAAGCTTGGCATACATTAGAATCACCAGGGGAGCTTTAAAAAAGTCTGTATGTCCCAGACCAATTAAATCATAATTTCTGGGGGTGGACCCAGGCATCAGTATTATTTAAAAGTCCCCAGGCTATTCCAAGTTTGAGAACCACTAATTTAGAGCATGCTTTACACACAAATGTTTCTCACCCCTGACTGTGCATCAGAATCACCCGAGAAGCTTTAAAAACAATGACCGTCCTCTCCAACAAGTCAAAGATATTGGGGGGAAAAAAGTGAAGAGAGAGGCCCACTAGATTATCTAGAATAGAAGCAGTTTAAGAGAGAGAATAAATTGGGGCTTGTTTGAATCCTGATTTGCACAAACTAGCAAAAAGACTGAGGACTTGGTGGAAATCTAAATACGGACTTGCTATTAGATGATATTAAGGAAATATTGCTAATTTTGTTAGATGTGAAAATGGTTATATAAGAAAACGACCGAACCGTTGCCGTTGAGTCGATTCCGATTCATAGTGACCCTATAGGACAGAGTAGAACTGCCCCATAGGGTTTCCAAGGAACCACTGCACCACCAAGGCTCTGGTTATGTAAGAAATGCCTTTATTTTGAGAGATGTCCATTGAAGTTTTTAGGGGTGAAATGACATGACATCTGGCATTTCCTCTGACATTTAAAAAGATGAAGCAAATATGGCAAAATGTTAATAAGTGTTAAATTTAGATCATGGAAATATAAGGGTTCAATATTTTTGCTTTTACTCATTTGGAAATTTTTATAATAAAATGTTTTTAAACCTCCTGATGCAAGGGCCCCTCAGACCCAGGCTCTGATAGTTTTTAATAACTCCCATATAATTCTTATATATTAGCCAGAGTTGGGAACAATGAGGTTACACTATGAAGGTACACATTTGGCTCTAATTAAGCAAGCACTGCAGACACAAATCATCTCTCAACCGAACTAGTCCAATACCAGTGAAAAGCTACACCTATATTTTGGAGGTGAGGGGTGGGGGAAGGAGAGATTCCAGTAAAAACTAAAAAAGACTTAGGTTAAAAGTATGTTTTCTTTAAATGTAATAATTATAATTTTTTACTTTAATATATAAATTCTCCCATTTAGCTTTGTTAGTTGTTTGAACTACAGTTGGAGGAGAAAATGGAAATAATCTTATGTGTAAGATGATAGTTTAGATACATTTTTGTGACTGAGTAGAAAGGCCTAAAAAGTATGCTCAAATCTGGCACTATGTGATCAGGGAACAATTAAAGAATAACTCAAAATACACAAGTTTGAAAAAGTTTGGCTCTACCATGAAAATGAATTGTATTCATGAATAGGTCTTTGAAGCAACAATCCTGAAACAGTTCTAGAACTGAATGGAAGGAATCATTAATCACAAAGAGTCTGAAACTGGCCAGTTCCATTTTGGCAGTATCCGCTGACTCTTTAAGTCCTCACTGTTAAGTTTTTCTCATGGGAAACATAACCAGGAAAGGAGCCAGAGGTCTGGTAGCTGACAGAGCCGACTCGGCGGAAGAAGTCCCAGCCGCAGCACTTCACATGAAACTCTATGAAGCCATCTTGAGAGAAGACTGCACTACGATTGAGATGCTCCTAAGAAATCACCCCGTCAACCAGCCCATAACCATTCTGGCCAACTCTACCAGCTACACACTACTTCTGAACCAGGTACCCTCCTTTCTGCTCAGTCACGTTTAGAAAAGAACCATGATGCCTAGGAAGGAACATCACCACCTCCTTGGAACTCACTAAACCCCCTCGCTGCCCTTACGAGGCCCAAGGCCCGAGAGGACATCAGAGGCACGCTACAGCTACAGAGCAGTGTTCTTCCAAGTGTGCAAGGCCTCCCTTCCAGTTATCACACATAACCTGATGTGAGAAAAGACTAGATCCTATTTGGCTAAAAGAACATTAATGTCATCTTCTCAAATATACCAATGGTGGTTATGTCTGTGTGACAGAATTATATTTCCTCCCCTTTTTAATACATATATTCATTTTCTAAATTTCTATACAATGACTATTACTTTTATAATTTTTTTTTTTCCCCAAACAGGAAGTTACCCTTTCTCCTTTACCCTATCCTCTCCCCTTATCTTGTAGTCAGGCTGTAAAGCCACTACTTACATACATCTTTTAAGCACTGGCACAAACAGCTCTGCTAATCAGAGAGAACATATGCTGCATTATCTTTGAAAACCCTGAAAATGCATGTTTTACTGCTGATACTACTACTTTGGTAGAGCATTGAAAAGCACAACACCCGCTTCTCAATCACTGTGGATTAAGTTAAGGATTAAGTGACTTAATAGCAATGACCATTAATTTTACACTAAGAGCTCTTCACAAGAATCAACTTTCAAAGCTTTGATTATGTCTGTTGCCTCGGTAAATTTGCATTTCTGTGAAACAGACTTTTATCATTTGGAATTCAGTGGTTTTTTGGTCATTGAAAACAGGCAAAAGAAAAGGAAAATTTCAATATCCCTACTAGAAAAATACTGAACCAACTAGATACTAGGTACACTTTTAACCTTTGAAATGGTAAGCTACCACAAATATTTCTGACCACATAGGGCTACTTGTAATGAATTTTGTTGTTGTTCTCTCCCCCTAAAGCAGACACAGTCTATCATCCCCATTCATCTGGCAGCTGAGTACCGCAAAGCCCAAAGTTTGCTCTGTTTGTTACAGCACGGTGCTGACCCAGAACTAAGGTAAGTTCACTCAACAGGCCATCGTTTGTAAATGAGGACACCTGTGACTTACATATTACTTTTTCCAGTTAGGCCTGGACTCATTCATAGCTATGGGCTACAAATTACCACATTTTCAATGAACCAATTCCTTTACTTTCTAGATGAGATACTCTGAATGGTTGGAAATAACACCAGAACAGAAATCAAGCAACCAACTGAAAGCATACTGAGTCCTACGTGCTCGACAATGTACTAGGTGTCGTGGAAATGTATTAGGTCATGGTCACTGCCCTCAAGGAATTTAACAAGTTAGGTCTAAAAATAAGAAAATATAAATAGTTCACTGATTTTCTTGTTTATTACTGTCCACTAGAAGGTAAGCTCCATGAAAGAGACCTTAATCTGCTCACCACTATATGTCCAACAGAGTTGGTGCAGTTAACGTGCTTGGCTGCTAACTGAAAGGTTGGAGGTTTGAGTCCACCCAGAGGCTCCTCAGAAGAAAGTCCTTGTGATCTACTTACCAAAAATCAGCCACTGAAAAGCTTATGGAGCACAGTTTTACTCTGGCACATATGGGGTCACTGTGAGTCGCTATCAATTCGACAGCAACTGGTTTTTTATATCTCCACCAGCTAAACCAATGCCTGACAATGTGTCCAATAAATACTATTTGAACAAGAGGATAACATGGTACAGAAATAATAGAACTTCTTGCCCCACAATATTAAAAGAAAATTAAGCCCCAAATCCTTACCATGCTCCGGAAGAGCCCACCTATTCTGGCTTGCTCTGAGCCTCCCAAATCCCCATGCCAGCCTGTGGGTCCTCTCACTCCATCACCCCAGCCCAGAGTTCCTCAGCAAACCCTTTCCTACCCCTCAATCCACATGCCGTCTTTGAATAAGGCTTCCATGCCTCTCTAGAACTTTGACCCTCACTGTTAATATTAGTTGTTAAAGTATGTTTCATGTCTGTTTTCTGTACTGGGCTGTAAGCTCTGCCAAGGTGGGGACTACTTGCTGTTTTACTATATCCCGAGCACAGGGCCTTTCACTGAATAAATATGTATAAACTGAAAATCATCTTCTGATTTCAGCAGAGCAATCAGATTTTCATAATAAACCTTCCCTTTTTTCTGCCAAAATAAAGGAATTTTGGAAGCACTCCTGAGAGGTTTCAGCAATGGAGCAGATGAGGGCATAGCTGTAAAATGCGCATGCTATACAGGCTGGAGCAGGCAGTGAAGAGTAACTGCTTCACGAACTTCAGAATGACTCTGGGGTCCTGAGTCAACCCTTGTTTGTCATCTGGTCTACCTACATTGAGCATGAAAGTGTCAGGTACAAGAGCAAATGCAGTGCCACTAAACAAGGTGCCATCCAGTCAATTCCAATTCATGACGCTCCCATCTGTATCAGAGTAGAACTTGCTCCGTAGGCTTTTCAGTGGTTGACTTTTCAGAAGTAGATCACCAGGACTTTCTTCTGAGTTGCCTCTGGGTGGACTCAAACCTCCAACCTTTTGGTTGGCAATCAAGCACATTAATGGTTTGCACTACCCAGGGACTCCACAGAGCCACAAAGACCTAAGTGAATGGGAGTTGTGGCCTTTTGTGGCTCATGTCTAAGGTAATAACATATCACACAATTGTACTGACAGACTACTAATTCAGCCCAGCACTGTGTAAGTCACTGGGGACACAGAAAAAAACAAGATACAGCCCTGAAGGGGTCTACAGTCCTCATGGGGGAAAAACATGGAACAGGCTGCTAGCGGAGGCTGTACCATCCACCCCCATGCCTGGCCATGCTGTGATACATGCCACTCCCTTTTCCCCAAAAAACTGTGATATCCTGAGAAATGACACAGTAATGAAGGGAGTTGCTTTAAATAAATGTTGCCTTCTTGAACATTAATTCTTCACACACAGCCATTCTAATTGTGAATTTGGTATAACCTGTGACCTATACCTATTCCAGGGATACAAGAGGACTCACCACCCTTCACCTGATGCTGCTGCACTGGCCAATCATGTCTACCACATGGACAAAGCCGGGTAACAAAATCCAGAGAATCCTGACCGACATTCAGAACGATGCTGTCGTGTGTCTCCGCATCTTGTGTGAACATGGCGCACAAGTGAATGCTCGAGTAGATAACAGCAACAGACACTCACCCCTGCACCTGGCCATAACATACGGGACGTACCCAGTTCTCTCCATTTTGGCCCAAAACGGTGCCCATGTTAATGCTATTAATGAATCCAGCATGACCCCCCTTCACATGGCTGCAGACATCCTGAACAAGGAGATGATGGAAACGCTCATGGCCTGTGGTGCGAACGTGAACTGTGTAGTCTCATCTACGGGAAACACTGCCCTCAAGCTGGCGGTGTGCACTGCATCCAGCAAGGCAGGCCGACTGCTGGCGGCAGGCGTCAGCTGCATCCGTTTGCTCTTAATTCATGGAGCCAAAGTCAATGCCCAGGACCATGAAGGTCAGACAGCTATGCATGAGGCGTGTTTTGGAGGCAGAGAGGCAATAATCAATCTCTTGCTTGAATTTGAAGCAAATGTTAACATTTTAACGAGAAACGGGGAATCTCCGATTTACATGTACCTTCAGCGCAGCTCTAATATCAGAGACACAGCCCTTCTCACCAGGCTACTTTATCGCTCCTATCCTTTGAGACTGACCAACAACCATGGAATTCTACCTGCAGGACTCATGCTACCAGAATTCCAGCTCTTAAGGGAGACCTTAATAAAGTTATCTCAAAAACCCTTATCCCTACAGGACATCTGTAAAAGAAACATCAGGAATATTTACGGCGAGAAATACAAACAAAACTTGAAACAACTTCTCCCAGTAAAGATATGGAACTCTGTATACGGTTACTATGACTTAGCTTACCTCTTGAAATAAGACTTCAAAGTTTCACGGTGCCATAGAATTTGAGTCAGTCACATTCTCTAGGCTCTAGGCTACACATGTACTCAGAAAATACTTAGCCCATCACCTTGTGTACCCCAAATGTACAAACTAATGATTCTTAAACCTTGCAAAAAATAAAGTGATTTGAATACTGACTTTTTGTTCCTAAATTTTCTGTTAAATGCATTTTCTATGATTTAATTTTTGCCTGGAAAGAAATAAGCAAATTAATTTAAAACTCTGCCACCAAAGAAGTAAATATACTCCCTCTCTTCCTTGACAGTCTTTTGTGGATAAAAATTGGAATCGTCGTTATAAATGTTAAAAAAAAAACATGGCAAAAAATACAATAGTGACTTTTAAAAGATTTTAACAAGCCTATTTCTGTTTTGGTTTTTAACTCCCCATGCTGAATTTCCTTAACGATGGATAATTACAGAAACATTTTATTTGTAAGGCTGCAATAACATGTGAGCCTCCAAAGCATTTTTGTTAGCATTAAGTACACTTAGCATCATCAATTATTACCCAGAGTACTCTTACTACCCGAAAAACAGTATAATATTCCATAGAGAATTTTCAAATACCCAAAGATCACTGCTTTTAAGTTTAAGGTTTTCATGTTTTGAACCGTTGGGACAGTGACGATTTCTATAAAAGGAACGACAGCCTCCTAAGTAAATGAACTAGGAGGTGGAGTCTCCTTTAATTCAATGAACCAACATCATGTCATCCCTGAGAAGAAGCTACCATTACCTTCAATGATTTATCTCCCCCACACTTACCTTCAGATCTCTGTGCACAATTCCCATGTTATGTATGTAAAATACACCTTCCACCAATTCTTGAAAAATTTTTGTTGCAACGCTGACCATAACATAAGGACCTTGAAGCAAAAAGAATACATTTTATTTCCCTATTTTTTTTTTTTACTCAAATACATTAACATCTAAATGTTAATGTAGTTTTAAATTCATTAACATCAGTCACTTACGGAACATTCAGATTTTCAGCAAAGATGGTGGTGTTAAGTGCCATGGAGTTAATTCCGACTCACAGCAGCCCCATGTGACAGCAGTACTGTCCCATAGTGTTTTCTAGGCTGTAATCTTTACGGGGGAGCAGATCAATAGGTCTTTCTCCCACAGAGCCGCTCGGTGGTCTCCAACCACCAACCTTTCAGTCAGCAGCCAAGTGCTTAACTGTTTACACCACATGGGATCACTATGAGTTGAAATTGACTCAATGGCACCTAACAACTTTGCTACACAGCTCAAACCTATTCCTTGTAGAGAACAAATTAAGACTGTCTCCTCTTACAGTACCTAGTATACAGCTTGGGGATCTCAAATACTTAGGCACATGTATGGGAGTATGCGTGTGCATGTGTGTAAACAATGGTTCCACTTACAGGTACCCCTACCATGACTCCCCTTCAACATTGACGTGAACAATTTCCTGGCTGGTTGGTGGAAATGCAAGTAAGACTCTGATTTTCACACAACTATTCAGAGTAACTGCCTTCCTTTGGTCTGTCTTTGAAATAATGGTTCTGATTTAACCTACCTAATATATCCAAAAAACCAAAAACCAAACCCATTGCTGACGAGTCAATTCTGACTCATAGTGACCTATAGGACACAGCAGAACTGCCCCATGGGGTTTCCAAGGCTATAATCTTTACAGAAGCAGACTGCTACATCTTTCTCCTGCAGAGCAGCTGATGAGTTCAAACCACCAACCTTTCAGTTAGCAGCCAAGCGCTTAACCACTACACCACCAGGGCTCCTTAATCCAACCAAACAGTGGGTGATGTTAGAGAAGCCAGTAATCATACACTGAGTCAAGCCAAGGATAACAGTTCCCATTTCCTCGGTGCCTTCTATATGCAGGCACTGTGCCCTGTCCTTCACACTTAGTGCTTTCATCCTTACAACCTTAAAAAACAGGCATGAGCTACGCTTTCCAGATGAGGAAACAGACTGAGCAGTTACCTGACTTGCTCCAAACCTCACAGCTGGTGTGTACTACAGCCAGGACTCAGACCCAGGTCTTCGTTCATGGGATTGTTGAGAATGATTAAAAGTAAAAAATCTAATCACTAATGGAAAACTAGCAGCACGGTGCTGGAATACTACAAAATTAAAACACTTTTATTTTAAACATTTAAAAAAAAATACACACCATGCTAACAGTATTATACAAATGTTGCCTTCATTGTTTTGGGAGGTTGATTGTGCTGGATGGTATAAATTAGAGTTCTCATCCCATACTTCATGAAGGACTCATTGCTTACTTCCCAAAAAGGAAGTCTGAAGATCAACGACTACAAACAGGGCTTTAACAAACCATTTTCTTTTCATAAAGACATCTGTGTACATACCACAGTGATCGTACAGCAGCAAAGGATAAAACTTCACAGGACCCTGAAAGTGCCCAATCCAGTGCTTGCCATGACTGCACTGACCAAGGTCCTTCCACATGCTTCCAACTACAGGGCACAGCAGAGCAGCAGCACACGGTGGGTGGAGGGGCTGCTGAAGTGGGGGCATTACGTTCTGTCCTTCCATTGAAAGCTAGTCTAAGGTTCTGAGTATGTTAACTGGCCTACATTCTAGACCAAATAAAGGGCTATAGTGTCATTAGAAGTGAATAGAACATGATTAATGATCAATGTTTAGTTGAGTCCTTACTTAAAAATCAGGTCACTCTCAACTCCTATTTTGATAATCTAAAAAGTAAGTTTCAAATTTGACTACACATTAGAATCAACAAGGGAACTTTCAAAAAAATATCAAAGGTCAGGCCCTGTCTCTGACCAATTATATAATAATAACAGGTGTGGCCCAGATAATACCTTTTTTAAAAATTATATTATTAATAGACTTGACTTTTTAGAACAGTTTAGAGTTAAAAAAAAAATAGAGGACATAGTACAGAGAGTCCCTATATACCCAACAGCCAGCTTCCTCTATTACTAATACATTAGTATGATACATTTATCACAATTACGGAACTAATAATTGACAGATTATTATTTATTAACTAAAGTTTATACTTTATTCGGATTTCCTTAGTTTTTACCTAATGTCCTTCTTCTGTTCCAAGATCTCATCCAGGATACCACATTACATTTAGTCTGTCATGTCTCTTTGGTCTCCTCTTGGCTGTGACAATTTCTCAGACTTTGCTTGGTTTTGATGACCTTGACAATTTTGAGAAGTGCTGGTCAGGTATTTTACGGAATGTCCCTGAACTGGGGTTTGTCTGACGTTTTTCTCATGATTAGACTGAGGCTGTATTTTTTTAGGAGGAAGACCACAGAGGTAAAGGGCCATTCTCATCCCATCACGGGAAGGGTACATGCTGTCAACATGACTTCTCACAGCTGAGGCTGACCTTCCTGACATCGCTGAGGCAGCAGTGTTTGTCAGGTTTCTCCACTCTCCAGGTAAAGTTACTCTCCCTCCCCGACAAACATAACATCATTTGAAAAGTTCCCAGGTGATTCTAATGTGTAGCCGGAGTTGACAATCAGTGTAACAATAGAATATTTTTTAAGATTAGCCTAATAGTATTTCTAGAATGATATGGAATTGGGGGGAGGGGTGTCTGGGTTTTGGGGAGACCAACTTCTCGTCACATACCTTTCCATAAAGAATTTCTTTCTATAAGAGTTATAATGTTCTCAGGTTAAAAAAGCAAGTAAAACACGCACTTAAATTTTTTCCCTTAAAAAAATTAAAAAAATTTTTTTCTACCAAAAATGATTACCCTAAATTCTACCATATTATTGCTTAAATATCAACAAACTATATATCCATCACAGAGAAAATTAAATCAACTTTCAAACTTTTTTGTGTTTAGAAACTGTTGAAAGAAGAACTATTTTTTTTTTTTTTTTTAAAGTTGTTTTGTTTTAATCTAAAGCACCTGGAGGCAATTCCTACATTAGATGAAGATCCGACTCTGTCTTTATTTGCCAGCACGGTATGTATGGATCCGTACAGTACTTACAAGACGACTCGTCCACACACTCCCGGCCCCTCCTGTTCCTGTCAGTGATCCAGTCCCACAGTGAGAGCTCACACAGCTGCATCTGGATGTGTAGCATCAGGTGGTACTGCACCTGCGGGATGACACATCGCAGGCTGCCATCTTGACACGATTAGCTCATATTAGACATTGAGTCAACAAACACTCACGTGCCTACTCTAGACCAGCACTGGGCTAACTCCTGAGACAGAGAACACAGACACAGGCCTGCCAAGAAGCCCAGTCTAGTGAAGGGGACAGAGCAGTAAAGCTTAATTAAAACATAGTGTCACAGCAGAAGTAGGCAGGAGCAAGCCAGGCTGGAGTGAGGCTGGGGCCAAATGGAAGAAGCCTTGTACGTGAAACTAAGGGATTAGTCTGGAAACTATCTGTCTGCTCACTGAAGAAATAGTTTTTAAAGCTAAGACAAAGCATCAAAGAATGGCTGTGAGTCATCTGGTATGGGATTCTACTACTGTATGTATACTCCAAAATATATTTACTTTGGCTGGCTTCACATTGTACATCAACTAACAACTTGCTCAAGCAAAAGGTAAACAAAGATTAAGCTCATGCAGCCCATTTATTTTAGCATCTAGGAGAATTTTCCAAATGTTAATACAGATAAATGAAATCATTATGATTAAAAGTCTCCCAAATTCAACTCCTCTGTATTCAAGTGAACCTATTTGAGTATTTATATTTTATTTTTAAAAAAATGCACAAAGATACATGAATTCCTTGACAATAAGAATTAATTCTGCATTCTGTTTATATAGATAGTACAGGTAGTCCTCGACTTACAACATATTCAAGTTACGACTAACCACACGTACGACCGTCTGTTTTCTTTGGCTTTTTTACTTTTTTGTACACCTTATCGTTAGTAATATGTATTACATATTATGTTGCAGTGTGTAATTTGCTGATAATCATTCTCAGATGTTCACCTGCAGATGTTCAATGTCATGATTTACTGTTCAAAACATCGTAGTATAGCAGGCTATGGCCTGGTACACAACGAAATTAGTGTCGGTGTCAGCAGTTGTAACTGAAAGTTGGGCAATGTTCAGCTCTAACGATATACGAGAACTGAACTGTGCGTGCCCCTGATAGCCATTACGATGCTGACTTCATTGCAGACCAGGCCTATGGCATGATCTTATACAGAGTTTTATACCATCAGAAGCATCAGTTGTTAATTTGAAGCTGAGTTGTTCCAATCCCCAAAGACAAACAAAGACTGGATTTATAAAGATAGTGGTAATAAAAGGCAATAATAATGAAAACTAAAAAAACAGAAGAGGTATTTGACCTACGTCAGAATCGACCTACGAAAGAGTCATCTAAACGGGACCCTGTCATAAGTTGGGGACCGCCTGTATATAGTTTTGTAATCTTAACATGGAACATCATGTGTAGACCCTGTTAATATTCAAGTTTTTTTAATACTAATACTCGATAGTGGTACGAATATAGTAGGAGTCTTACCAGCATATCAGTCCAACCCTCAAAGGAATATCCTGAAAAATCAGCTTACAATCCTACTAGGACTCTCTCCTAAAATTATAATCCAAAATATAGAAAATCTTTATGCATAAATAATTTTTATAACATTACACTGACACATAACAGAAATAAAATGTGAGTGATACTTCCAAATCCAGGGTATGTATATGAAAACACCTAAAGGAGAAAATGACCCAGACCAGGAGGTCAGAAAAGGACAGAAGAGCAAATGTGAAGGCTGTACGTCAAGAGGGGCAGATGGAGAGAATGAGAGACTGAGCAGGAGGAGCCAAGAGCTAGAGCAGAGAGAGAGCGCAGAGCACAGTGGAAAATGAGCTAAAGAAGAGGGAAGGCCAGAATTAATCACGGTCCTTTCTACAATTACTATGGTAAGCATCACATTGGGAAAGTCATCTACCTCTGTCTGCCCGAACAAGTTTAAGTGTTCATCAGAAGATTCCTCGGTGGATGTGAAATTTTCCTCCAGGTCTGAATACTGCCTGAGCGGCAGCTGATGTTCCATAATTGACAACCCATTTTCCTGTAGCTCAATGAGTGATTCCAATTCACTGGCATCTCTTGTGACTAAATTGGTGGTGTAGTTCACCAATCTGTTATTTTGATTTTCAAAGCCAGATTCTCCAAAGGCTTTGTCTTTGTCTGAGGTTAACTCAGCAAAGACAATGGATGAGCTGCTACTGTCATCATTTTTAACACCATACTGATCTCTGCAGAAAAAGAAGGTAAAGATAAAAAGCGGTGTAAAAAAGATCAACAGTAGTACAATATCACTTCTGAGGTATTCTTACCAAAAATGCATAACCTCAGTCTAATCATATGAAAATATCAAGGAAACCTAAATCAAGAGGCACTCTATAAAATAACTAACCAGTGCTCATTGAAAGACAGGACAGACTGAGGAATTAGCACAGATTGGAGAAGAATAAAGAGACTCAACAACGAAATGTCAGGAGGGCTCCTAGAAAAAGGACATTAGGAGGAATACTGGTAGAATGTGAAAACCATCTGTAGTTACTCATCTTGTACCTATGTTAATTTAGTCCCTGGGGGGTGCAAACAGTTACGCATTCAGCTGCTAACCGAAAGGTTGGAGGTTCAAGTTCACCCAGAAGCTCCTCGGAAAAAAGGCCTGGCAATCTACTTCCAAAAAATTAGCCACTGAAAACCCTACGAAGCAACAGCTCTGCTCTGACATATATAGGGTCACCATGAGTCAGAATTGACTTGATAGCAACTGGTCTGATCATGTGGTATGTTAAGCGACCTGTGTTATTTGCTAACTGTACTATGGTTATGTAAGCTGCTAACATTAGGGGAGCTGGGTGAAGGGTATATGTGAATGCTCGGTATTATTTTTGCAACTTTTCACTAGGTCTAAAATTATTTCAAACAAAAAGTTAAAATATTAGAAAAAAAAAAAGAAAGATCAATGGTAACTCAACTGTTCTTTCGTTCAGGCCTGAAATGAATTTCATTGGTAAGTTCCTGAAAAGAATGATAGCAAATCTTGCCAGTAGCAAAATTTATTTAAAATACACAAAAATAAATTCAAAATGGATTAAGGATCTAAATGTAAAAACTAAAACCATAAAATTCTTAGAAGAAAACACAGGGGCATGGCTATAGGGCCTAGCTTCTAACAATGGATTATCTGATATAATAACAAAAGCACGAACAGCAAAAGACAAAATAAACGGGTCCTCATAAAATAATACTAAGAAAGATCTGAGAGGAGGAAATAAGTTACAGCATTTTGATATGAAAATAAGCTCCTAGTAGCAAAAGACAAAGGAAACCCTATGCAAGTGGCAGTGGGTGATGTCTAACACGTAAGTGCACACCAGTCCCCATACCTGTTGTCTTCCTGGTCAGAGAGCACTTCCAGAGAGGACAACTGAATAGGAGCTCTGTCTGTGGAAAAAAAGCAAACCAGAACAACCTTCAAGGAGCTCAATTTTCCAATCTAGAGAGTCAAAGGCAGAGCTAAAATATACAAATAATACCAAATGAGACTACACATCTAAAAATGTCATGACCTTCTGGCAAAGTAAAATACAAGAAGCATATTCAAACGACTGGCATATTTTTGGTGCTATAAAAACAGAACTGTTCAACTATACCAGGGGTTGGTAAGCATTTGCAGTAAAGGACCTGATAGTAAATATTTTAGGCTATGTGGGCCCTATGAGACTCTGCTGCAACCAATGAATTCTGCCAATAAAGTGCAAAAGCAGTCACAGACAACACATAAATGAATGAGTGTAAACCAGTGTTCCAATAAACCTTACTTATTGATACTGAAATTTGATTTTCATATAATTTCCATCAAATATTATTCGTCTTCTGATTTTTAACCATTCAAAAATGTAAAAATCTCAGCTTGCGTGATGTACTAAAACAGGCAGCAGGCTGCATTTGGCCTGTGGGCCACAGTTTGCCGACCCCCTGAACTATCTCATCAAAAACTGCTTACCTTGTGGTTGGGCCACATGAACATGTTCTATCCAAGCAGTGTGGTAGCCTACAATGTGAGGATGCTGCAGACCCGCCAGCACCTTTACTTCCCGTAGTACCTAAAAGGGAAAGTTCTTAGATCTGACTTTGACTGACAACTTGCTAAATGTTTACGGTTGTTGTTGTTAGTTGCCGTCAAATAGATTCGACTCATGGCAACCCCACGTGCACAGAGTAGAACTGTACTCCATAGGGTTTTCAAGACTGTGACCTTTTGAAAAAATATTGCCAGGCCTGTCTTCTGAAGTGCCTCTGGGTGGGTTCAAACTGCCAACTTTTCGGCTAGCAGTGGAGTGCATAACCATTTGCACCACCCAGGGACTCCCAGTGTTCACAGTATCAAATACTATTTGTTCAGGGCAAAAAATAATAAAAACTCCTCTTTACAAGGAATGTAGACTATATTAAAATTAGAATATTTTTCTGAGAGACAAACAGCAATTATTATAGCAAGTAAATAACAAATTTTTACATATTATTTCATGCTTGTCACAGCTCACTTATAACCATTCGCTTATCTGATGTCCACACTAGTGCTCTGAGGTAAGTAAAACCACTGATGTCACCACTACTACAAAGGTGGGAGATAGAAGCGGCTCAGAGGACAAAGCAATTTGCTCAGGACCACACAGCACGTCAGGGAGAAAACAGACCTGAATTTGGGCTTGTGTTTTTTTGTAACAAGTTATACTGTGTATCAATAATTTATTTAAAAATGAATTTCCCCACCCTGAAATGTGGTCAGTCTGAAGTGCCCACAAAAAAAAATAAAGTCAAATAAGAACTTAGTTTTGATGTTTACTATATTTTACCGTAACGTGATTCGTAGTGAACTAGCAATCCATACCACTTATATACACTTACACACAGAACTCTTTTAAAAGGACTTAAATACTCAACTATGCAAAATAAATAATTTTTTAAAAATCATACCTTCATGCAATCTGTTTTAGTTGCACCTTTAATCAGGATTTTTTTAATTGCATAATACTGGCCATCTAATTTATTCCTGACCTAAAAAGTAGAGGAAAAAACACAAGTATATTCTGTCATTAAATTCCAGATGAATGAAGAAAGTTCTTTTAATCTGAGCTTAGATAATCAAAACTACCCAAAGAGATAAAATGAAGCTAAACTGTCCTTTTTCTATGCTCAGGCGAGTCACCCCTACTTGGCTAAACTAGCAGCTTTTCACAACTGCACCCAGAGCCCACCACCTAGAAGTTCTATGTCCGAAGACTGGGGCTCTTAGCAAAAGGGCTATGTAAAGCCCAAAACACAGTAGCACAACTTTTTCCAATAATACATTTTTAATAAAAATAAACCATAAAACAAAAAACTCAGAGTTTCCAGGATCCACCTAAACAACCAACATGGTTAAAAAATAAATAAAACCTGTTTACTTCCCCGTAAATAACAAATCTTAATGAAAAAATAAATATACATGATTTCCAGGACTTTCCCTTTGAGTACTTTCAATAATAATAATGAAAACAACTTCTCAAAATACACTTATTTACAGAGTAATAGGTCAAAATGAGTATGTAAAAACAACCTTGTATACTCTTCCATAGCCACCTTTTCCTAAGATGGCAATCTCTTCAAATTCATTTAAGTAACGTGAGGTTTGTGCTTCAAAGGCTACTTCTCTTGGTCTAAAAGTTAAACACAAACATTTAACAAATCATTATTAAGGCATGAGAGAACAAAGTTTTCTAGACTCGTTCATGTTCACTGAATTATTAGCCTTCCAAAACCTCATTCATTTGGATTCTACTAAGTTGTGATAATTTAGAAAGGACGCGTTAAAGTGAAATTTTTCAATCTCTATGAATAAAACATTTGCTATGCAAATCTACAGTGTAATAAAGATAGCAAAAGGATCACTAAGCTAATTTCAAGCCTTTTTTCCAGTAATTAAAATTCTAAATAGAAGTTAACTCATAGATTTTTAGAGTAGGATGGCCTAAAGGACGTCCTAAAGATGGCTAAACTTAGTAATAAATTTACTTAAACTTCTTAATGATCCAGACTCACTACAGATTTTAAACTAAATATAGCTGAATTCAATGTTGCTGCCCTTACAGAGACTGATATCAGTATTCTCAATCTGGTGGGGCTTATGGAACCTACAGTGAATGGGGGGACTAGAGTGACCAAAATGGGAAATGAGAAACAAAGCAAATCTCAGAGCAGTAATTAATTGCTGAGAACAGTTTTTAATTTTCATGAACTACGCTAACTATATTATTTTTTAACCCCAAAACTAGTATTTTCTTAACCCCAATTTCTTTTGGATAGTTTACTCTTTGGATAACCAAAAAAATTTTTAACACATACCTGATTTTCTGGATATGAGAATTCTCATCACAAGGATCCTAAAACCAAAAAAAGTAATGTTAAAAAAGCACTTCGAAAAGTTTCACGAAATAAGGAATCTATCATAATTCAATGTCAGGTTAATAGCCCCAAATGTTCTAAACGATATTAAAAAATACATATATCCAATGGCTTTTTCAATATTATTTAGCGCTCACAATTGAAAATATATTTTTCTTAGCCAAAAGATCACTAGTAAAGAAACTATATGTTGCTATACATTGACAAATCTGGGAGTCTAACAAAGAACTCCATCAGCAAATAAGTTAGCTTTATCTTCAAAATATATCCAGAAACTAACTACTCTCACATCTCAACTACCACCCATTCCAAGCCACCATCATCTCTTGCCTGTAAAACTGAAACTGGTCTCCCTGCCTCTGCCCTGTCCCTTCATCTATTCTCAACACAGCAGCTGGAGTGACCCTGTTAAAATATAAGTAAGATATGGTGCTCTTCTATTCAAAATCCTGACTCTGAGTAAAAACCAAAGACATTACAATGGCCTCAAGTTCCTACTCCATCTGTCCCCTCCACCCTCTTGCCCTGCTCTCCTATACCCTCCCCTTTGTTCGCTGTTCTCTGGCCACATGGTGCCTTGCAGGTCCTCACACATGCCAAGCATACGGCCACCTCAGGGCCCTTAGAGTACTGCTCCTCTGCCTGGAATGCTTTTCCTCAAGATCTCTGCATGGCTCCTTCTCTCAGCCTCAGATCTGAACTTAAATCACACTGTCTCTCTGGCTGCTCTCTATAAAATTCACACACCCTCTCCCAACATTGCCTAAACCTCTTCACTGCTTTATGTTTCTCCATAGCACTTATCATCATCTAACACACCATACATTTTTATATATTTTTCTTTATTTCCATTGTTTACTGCCCCCTCATTAAAACATAAGCTCCACAAGGGATTTCTATCTATTTTATTCACTGTTTTAACCTCAGACCTACAAGTGAGCCAAGCACATTGCTGTTGTTGTTGCCACCAAGACAATTTTAACTCATGGCAACTCCATGAACTACAGAGTAGGCTGCTCCATGGGGTTTTCTTGGCTGTAATCTTAACAAAAGTAGATCAACAGGCCTTTTCTTCTGTGGTACCAAGAGATGGGTTCAAACCACCAACTTTTAGGTAATCATTCAATAAATATTTTTTGAAAAACCAAGTTTATATTTTTATAAACCTGTTTTATAAGTAGAATTTCATAATGCTTTATAATATAGTTCTCTTGAAATTAAAATATATTTTTTGTAATATACAAAGTACATTTTTTTAGGGCTTACCTGACGAACTTTCTCTTTAGCTGACCGCATTAAATGAGTAATAGCTCTGTTGTGATGCAGTCTCAGTGAGCTAAATTCATCACTACAAGTGAAAGAAGACAGCAGCCCCATCTTGATAAAAGTTTGACAGAGTACTATAAAAATAATATGGAAAACTAGTATTAGAACGACCATCAATAAAATGGCAATTTTAAAGCATACAGAGATAATAAAGAGTAATAACAGCAATACACACAAAAACCTCTACAAGAAAAAAGTGATGTTTATACACCTATCACAACTTGGGGATTGAGTTCTCTAAAAGAGAAAGAGGCAGTTCTACTCTGTCACATGGGGTGGCTATGAACAGGAATCAACTTGACAGCGCCCAACAAAACATATGTGTGAAATTATTTATTTATAAATAAGAACCATTAGTACATTCACTGATTAGGAGCACAGCTATCATTTCTTATCTGGTACTGTACAGTCATTTACCATGCCTGGTCTGTCAGCAAAGTACTAAGCTCTGATTTTTGTTTTTCTTTTTTTAAAAAAAAAAAAAGGCAAGAAAAACATAAACGTATTCTTCTAATATTCAAACACATTACACTTTGCCGACAGGCAGCAAGATAAGAATAAAGGAAGGTGTGAAAACAAACGATTAGAAGTGACAACAAAAGTGAATGTTAATTGTTCTTTTCTGTTTTGGAATGTCTAAGCAACACACAGAGGCCTGGTGGCACAGTGGTTAAGTGTTCAGCTGCTAACCAAAAGGTCAGCAGTTCGAATCCACCAGCCGCTCCATGAGAGAAAAGACCTGGTGATCTGCTTCCATAAAGATTACAGCCTTGGAAACCTTATGGGGCAGTTCTACTCTGTCATATAGGGTCACTATGAGTCAGAATGTACTCAAAGGCAACAGGTTTTAAGCAACATACAAAGAGAACATATTGAGTGTGTGCAGATGTACAGACCAAACACTAGCGGAAAAGTCAACTCTGAGGTGACAAAACAGACTTTCTGAGAAAAAGAAGTTTCTACAGAGCTGTCTTGGCTTTTACTCATTCAAGGAATACAGATACCATACAGGATTTTCCTCCCATATCAAAAATTCTGTATCTAGATTATCAACTACCTAATTGAATAATATCTAAAACATTTATTCATACTTATTTCATACCAAATTTTTAAATACCATCTGCCTCTCAGACCACAGCATTAAACCACACAGTATTTTTACAAGCTTTATTTAGCAAGGTTACGTTATTCTTACTAACATTTAAACACCTGTCTTGAACGACCTTGATTTGGCTCATGCACGTGGCTCAAGTGCTCCAACAAAGACACAAGCAACAGTTGGTTTGCCACTGCAAAAGGGAAAGTTGGCTGCTGTAGGGGTCCTTTTAACACTTGGAGTTCTGCTGGCACATCAGACTCTAAAAATTTTAAAAAGGAAAAAATTTAAATTAGTTGTTAAGCATTTCGTGTAACAACAAAACAGCATGCTCTGATTAATAAAACACAAACTATTTCAATTTAAGGAAATAAAAATGAAAGAGTAGTTATGCTGAATGAGGTTTATCAAGAAAGCCTTTCTGGAAGTGAATTGTGAGTTGAATTCTGGAAGCTAAAGATGCCATGGAGGGAGTAGAGACAGTTTGCGTAGCAATGACACTTACAATGGTAGAAATAAACACATGAATAAATATTCGATCAAAAAGGCAAGCAAGGGGGAATAAGAAGGCCCCCTTGCTTTGAGAAGGCAGCCCAGGCTCAGGCATAAAGAAAGAATTTTGGCAGAGAAGAGAGGGAAAAGGAAGGAAGAATGGAAACTTTAAGCACTTACTATGTAGGTACGTGTTTTACAGGCACAATCTCATTTAATCCTCATGAAACAACATAAGGTAAATGTTACCATCCCCATTTTACAGATGAAGATGCTGATGCTCAGCAAAGTTAAGCAACTAGTGAATCAGGCAGATCAGACTAACTCCCAAGGCCATCCTCTTTCCACTATAAAAACTGCCCATACAAGAGGCTGCAAAGACTAAGGGGACAGACGGGTTGGCACTTAAGGCTGAAGATCGTCCTAAGTTCTCACTTGTCTTTTATTTACTACACTACTGAACAGGCCAAAAACACAATGCAGGAAAAACGTTTCCAGAAAACTGGTCTGGCAACACATAATAGGTAATCTGGAGAGAGGCTTGCAGTCGATGAAGAGAGATTAGGATGAGCCTAGTAAAGGAGGTCAGTTACAGAAATGCGGAGGAAAGAATAGGTTTTAGAGATAGCAACAAAGAAATGGACTGGCTTAGGAGACTAACGAAAGAATCAAAGATGAGGCAGAGGTTGAAAACACAAAGAATGGGAGGATGGAGGGGCAAATGAGTGCAAAAATTGGGCAGGTGACTGTTAAGAAGAAAAATGACACATTAACTTTCAAGAGTTATTGGTCCATTCAGTCAGAAATACCTTGCAGATACATGAAGCATATATCCTACACCTTCTAAAACCATCCCATTTCAAATATTCTATTCCACTCCCCTCCATAAATTACTAAAAGGTCTGGGAAGATCCAAATTTTCAAATCCAGACTACATACATTCACCAACTTCCTCTCTGATCTACAGTTGCCCCTACCTGTTGCTGTTGAGTCAATTCTGACTCATAGCGACCCTATAGGACAGAGGAGAAGTGCCCCATAGGGTTTCCAAGACTGTAAATCTTTATAGAAGCAGACTGCCACATCTTTCTCCCGTGGAGCAGCTGGTGGGTTCCAACCACCGACTTTCTGGCTAGCAGCCAAGCACTTAACAACTACGCCACCAGGACACCCCTCAAAAAGGCCTGCATTATGCAGATGTGTTGTTCATTTCAAATGAATATTTATTACTGCAAACGAAAGGCTATATGCATGACACCAAAAACCATTAAAAAGAAAACTCTGTCCATGTAAAACCTTCATTACCTGAAGACATCTTAAACAAAGTTAAAATATGAATCACAAAGTGAGAGAAAGATCTGTGCTATACATGACAAAAAAAAAGTTAATAAGATATATACAGAGCTATTACGAGCGAATAAGAAATAAATCACAATTAATGCAACTAGTAAATAAGATGTGCATATTAAAATAATAAGTAAGGTACCAGAGTTTGCCTATCAGATTGGTAAACATTTAAAGATTGGAATACTTGGTATTGTCGAGGGCACAGTAAAGCAGGCATTTTCAAACACAAGTAAAAATGTTTGCCATCTCTGGAAATACACTGTAAGATTTTAAATGTACAAATCTTTAATCCAGCAATTCTACTCTTGGAAATATACATCAATGAAAAAAATTAAACCATACACAACAGAGATGTATGCACAAAATGTTCAACATAACACTGTTTAGAATACTGAAAAATCATTAAATAAGTTATAATATACACATCTATTAGAATACTATGTAGCTATTTGAAATGATAAGGAGCTCTGGTGGCACAATCGTTAAGCACTAGGCTGCTAACCTAAAGGTCAGCAGTTTGAACCCACCCAGCGGCCAAGAAAACGTTATGGGACAGTTCTACTCTGTTACATGAGATCAACCATGAGTTGAAATCGGCTCGATGGCACCTGACAACAATAAAATTAGAAATGATGGTATACAAAAACATAATCATGGATAGTCTATTATCAAGTCAAAGACGCAGGCTATAAAGCAGTAATACTAATGAAGGCAGGTGACACCGACAGTTTCACACATGAGAACATAAACCAGAACAACCTTCCTTGTCATCACTTTAGCAAAATGTATCAAAAAATCTTAAAAATTTTGTTTTTATTTGACCTAACAATCTGTTTTAAAGAAATTATCAGAGATATGGACAAAGATTTATGTATACAGACATCCAAACCATTGTTACTTACAATGGTGAGAAAAGGGCTCCAACCTAATTTCCACCAATAAAGACTAAACAAATGATAGTACAGAATACTATGCAGTCTGAAAATAATGTTTTTAAAGGCTAATTTATCACAGAGGAAACACTAATATGTGACATTTAAAAAGCAAAAGATAAAATGTTTATTTTATCATACTACTCTAATCATAATTTTAAAATATTTTTATTTTATAACTACTATATAAATATGGAGCCCTGCTAACCAAAAGGTCAGCAGTTCGAATCCACCAGTTGCTCCTTGGAAACTCTATGGGGCAGTTCTACTCTGTTCTATAGAGTCGCTATGAGTCGGAACCGACTCAACGGCAATAGGTTTGGTTTTCTAGTAGCACAGTGGAGCCCTGGTGGCACAGTGGTTAAGAGCTATGGCTCCTAACCAAAAGGTCAGCAGTTTGAATCCACCAGCTGCTCCTTGGAAACCCTATGGGGCAGTTCTACCCTGTCCTATAGGGTTGCTATGAATTGGAATCGACTTGACAGCGGCAGGTTTGGTTTTATATAAATATATCCAAAAAAAGCTGGAAGGAACAAAGCAAAATCTCTGCCTCCTCTGTTTTCAATGACATAGCTACACAATTTTTTAAAAGAACGAAATTACAGTGAACATGCTGTTTTACAGTCTGCCTGTTTGACATAGTAGATCATCCAAGAACAATCAGTTTGATCTTTGGTACTTAGGACAGTGCCTGGCAGACAGCAGCTCTCAACAAGCATTTGCAAATGAATACACCAAATCGTTAACAGTGAGCTCACTACAGGGATGTGGGTATAGGTGATTTCCCCCTTTTTTCTTTACACCTTTAAATTTTGTGAATTTCTCTAAATTTTATTGTATTTTGATGAAACCACTTTATAACATTTATAACACCCTTCTTTAACAAATAGTTTTAAAATCAAAATTTTTAACAAAAATAAGCTGTCTCTAGATACATCAAAATGTAAACAGTAATCTCTGGGTGATAAGATTTTGGATTTTTAATTTCCTTCTGTCATGGATTGAATTTTGTCCCCCAAAAATGTGTGTCAACATGGATACTCCATGATTCCCAGTATTGTGTGATTGTCCATTTGTCATCTGACGTGATTTTCCTATATGTTGCAAATCCTATCTCTATGATGTTAATGAGGTGGTATTAGTGGCAGTTATGTTGATGATGCAGGACTCAATCTATAAGATTAGGTTTTGTCTAAAGCCAATCTCTTTTGAGATATAAAAGAGAGGGCAGCAGAGAGACATGGGGACCTCATACCATCAAGAAACAAGAGCCAGGAGAACAGCATGTCCTTTGGACCCAGGGAGCCCTGCTAGTCCAGTGGTTAAGAACTTGGCTGTTAATCAAAAGGTCAGCAGTTCGAATCCACCAGCCACTCCTTGGAAACCCTTTGGGGTAGTTCTACTCTGTCCTGTTAGGTCACTATGAGTCAGAATCGACTTGACAGCAACAGGTGGATTTTTGGTTTTTGGACCTGGGGTCCCTGTGCTGAGAAGATCCTCGACCAGGGAAGATTGATGACAAGGACTTTCCCCCAGAGCTGACAGAGAAAGCCTTCCCTGGAGCTGGCACCCTGAATTCAGACTTCTAGCCTCCTAGACTGTGACAGAATAAATTTTTCTTTGTTAAAGCCATCCACTTGTGGTATTTCTGTTATAGCAACACTAGATAACTAAGACACCTTCTTCTTGCTTTTCTATATTTTCATGTATTCTGTAATGTGAATATTTTTTTTAAATGCCAAACTGTTAACTGTGGTGGGATTATGGGTAGGAGGGTTTTCTGCTTCTTTATATTCTGATGTACTTTCCTATTTTGCACAATGAGAAAATCCTACTTTTTAATAAAGAAAAACAAAATAGAATGGGTGGTCAGTGGAGTCAAATAAAACTAATAAATCAAGAAAAATGACTTTAAAAAGAACAGTAGTTTTGTAAATCACTGACAATCCCAGAGAACACAGTTTTGCCAGAGTTTCTGGAAAGACACATACTCAGTTGAAGGAAGGCATAAAACCAAAAGGAAATGAAGGCTGAAGCTGAAAGTTTCACAGTTCTAGTCAAGAGTAGGAGTAAAGGGAAAGTGCCTGAAAGGAAAGATGGTGGTCAAGTTCCCTTATAAAAGGGTAAGAAATAAGATTTGGATCCTAGGTGAATTAGAGTTCTAGACTTCTACCAAGTAGGAGGGGAGTAGACAAACAGGAAGCAGATCACCTAATTCGATCTTCTCAAGAAAGTATGATCCAAATGGTCCATTATTAAGTAAAAGAAGAGACTGGAGGATTAACTTGAGGTTAAAAAAAAAAAAAAAAAAAAG